CTGGTTGGGTTTCTGTTTGGCAGAAATAAATTCCTTTAGCCACTAATCTAGATTAAATCAATAGTGCAGCCTCTGCTGTTGGCTAGGGCAAGCGTGCTAAAAAGCCTTGATTTTCTTTTTGAAGATTCTAATCCTCATGTCTAAAGATCTTCTCTAGCTCTCTGAGACTGCTTAAAACACACATACCATTTGGGAACACAGCATTTTGCAATCAAGAATGTTTTTGCTCTGAACCACTCCCTATCCTTCTGAATACGTTCTGCCTACAGTCTCCCATCATCGTTATCCATCACATTTTCTCTCTTCCTGTCAACCTAAATTATAAATAAAATAGATTTATGAACTTTGGTACAACTCAAATCCTGCAGTTCGAACAATGGAGGCATGCTTCAACACTCATGTACATTTAAGCTATTGGCACATTTAGCCCAGTTCTTTATTCCTGTTTGGTAGTTTAAAATACAGCATAAAAGAAACTCCAAACAAACCCATGAACACAGGGTTTGGGGTATACAATCATAGTTTAAGGATGTCAACTGAACAAGCCAGAGTTACCTGGCTTGCTCTTATCCTTAACTAAAGTTTGATCTGCAGAATTCAACAGGCACACATTTTCATAGAAATAAGTAGAAGCACCTTTTCCTGTATATAAGCAAGTTGCTATTAAAAGAAGAGCTGCAGAGTCTAGCAAAAAGTTGACAGCCCATTCCAGAAGCTACACAGTCTCAAGACATTCTTGACCATGATTTAAAGAAATCTTGAATTCAACCTGAGCTACCAAACATATAAAGATTTTAACTTACAGTACTCAGGCCAGTCTAGCTTAAAAATATAGCTTATTTGAAGTTGGCCACTTTTCTTTTGAAGAAGACAACATGATCATATGGTCTCCAAACCAGAAAGCAGATTAGTGACCAATGAAGAAACTCTTGTTGGGAAGGGAAAGCTTATGTTACAACAGCAATTTCATTCTTCTGTTTTATAAAAAGAAGTGGTTCCATGTTCTAGACCAGCCTACCTCAGTCTGGTATTCCTTCCAGAAGTGTTGGACAACACCACCTAAAATTCCAAACCCAACAGTGTTGCAAACCAACTCCTCTGTAGGACTCCTTGGTGAGGAAGGACTGACTGATGTGTGATGAAAAAGACATGTAAAGAAGCCTTCCAATCTACATAGTTTTTTGTGTCCTACAGGCGATGGAGAAGGGCAGTTGGATGCCTAGCTAAATGAGGCAATCGTAATCCATCCATCTCTGTTTTCATGATGCTGCTAACTCTTCAATGCCTCCACAATTTGTTCCGGTGGTTTGTAGTCCAAGCAGCTGGTAGTTTTCACCTATCTGTGTTGGGTTCCACATTCTAGAGCATTCAAGTCCTCCTCCAGATTTTCTGTAACCGTTGCCTCTGTAGACTGTAGATTAATTCTCCTCCTTATTTGGACTTTTATATGTCAACAGAGAAGTAACCTCCCATTGAGTTTAATGGGTATTCTCTCAGCTATTACTCTCTCTTGGAATGGACCTCTTGGAATTGGGATGGAACAAACTCTGCCAGTGTACTGAATTATCCCAGATCGATGCCTGTTGTTCCCACGCAATGGGAGAATTGTTTTTTTTAACTCTCAATATTTTAAAATATATATTTAAGTTTATAACAACTGTAAAAAATAGAAGTAAAAATTTTTCAATCCCCCCCCCAAATGTTCTTGAAAATAAGACAAAAATGGTTCCTTTTCCTCTCCTTCACCCAGAAAAAGACAAGCCAATATAAAACAGGATGAGTTTTTAAACATTATGTCACTTATTTTCATAGAACAAGTGGAATTCTGAGATTGCAGTCTCTGAGGGAATGGAAAAGACAAGTATGCTCCCTTTATACTATGGGTGTTTTAGAAAGGCACATGTCAATGACAGGTTTGCATGTGTATGCATATGTGTTAAGCCAACAGATCTGGGCTGCCCAGCTCCCCATGATCTCTAGATGGCAGCAGAAATGTAAAACTAACCTTTGATGCCATCTAGGGGTTGTCTAAATTGGCAGAGCCCAGATCTCGTAGCTTGTGTGTGTGTGCACAACTTTAATTCATTTCTCTGCTTTGCAAGAGAATTGAGAACCAAGCTGTAGCAGAGCATTTGTTAAAAAGTAAATAGAAGTATTAATTTGCCTGCATTTTCTTCTTTTATATATAACTATTTAATCCTCCTGCTTCCCTCCTGGCTTATAGCCACACTGAACAGTAATAGTAATATTACCTGGAAACAGGACATTTCGCTTAGATGTTCAAAACACGAACCTGCACGGCACGGCAATCATTTTGCTCACAAGAGACAAAGATCTCGTTCATCCTACTGAACAAGAACTGGTGTGGGTTGGCCTTGCAAAGATCCTTCAGAGAAAAGACCACAACTGGAATAAGGTCTTTTGAGGTAATTTGGAACTAGATGGTGTTTGGAAATCCCTGCCCTTTCCTTCCCCTTTTTGTAGAGCTGAAGATTCGGTCATTCTTAAGAGGGAAAAGGAGCTAAAGCATTGGTTTCAATAGGAGAGTCTTGAGCAGAAATTCCTTTTCCAAACAGGGTGCTTCCTATGCTGTCAAACTTTGGAGCCATACTCAAGGGGCCTTTCAAAACTGCCTAACTGCAGCTTGCAGTTCTCCGAAGCATTCTCAGCTGAGGAACGACAGACCACCCACTCCAAGACTCCATTTATTTTAAAAATCTGCCATCCTTCTTGCCAGAGATCACAGCTTGTTCAACAACCAGGGTCATCTGCCCTTGAACAACCGTACTTTGGCCACAGAGGCAAGGGTGTGCGTCACATTTGACTCAAAGTCTCCATCGTGGACACCGGTCTGCCGAAAAGCTCCTGCAGAAGGATTATTCTCCCAATAGTGGTGCCAGTTGCCTTTACTGTCTGCCCCAAAGCCATACAGATCCACCTAGGGATAAAAAGTGGATGGAAAAAAGAACTCTGCAAAGTCTGATTCTTAAGTTGATTTCATTTTACTTATTTCCAGTATTTCTATCAACCCTCACAGGTATCCTATGCTAAAGTAACCATGACAACAAGACAATGTTAACCTCCCTTTGCAACTGAAGGTATTGTTTTCCAAAATTATGTAGGTTTCCTGAGAGAAGAAAACACAATTTAGCAGGGGGTTAGCCACCTACAACCCTCAAGATGTTGCTAAAGTACAATTCCCACCATCCTGCACTGTCTAAAGAGGATCATGGTGCTGAGAGCTGAAATTCAGCAATGGCCTGAGATGAATTTACTAGAAAATAAGACATATCTTAATTAGGATTACAGCAGTGGGAACAGGGTGTGGAAAAACATAAAAAAGTCTTCTGGGTATTTCAGGGTCAACTTGAACAATGGATCGGTCACCAAGTCAATGCAGGTCACCATGCATGGTGGCGTCTTAGCAGATGACTTGACCATCTCTTGTGTTTTGACCGTCCCAGGCTGGGAGCAAAATCAGACATTTTACAGAGTTACCAACGGTCGACTGCATTTGGCTGGATTAATTATAAGAACTTCTGTAGCATGTTTGCATTACAGCTTATTTTTGATTCAAAATTTTGCAAGCTAAAAGGAGGAGTTGCATCAGCTTAATTCTTTTCTATGGGCATGCAAGTTTCTGGCACACTCCTCCCATCCTCCTTTCCCAGGGTGAGATTGAATTTTTCCACCTTAGATTTTAAGTTAATCACTGTCAAGCTTGGAAATTGTTTAAACTACGATTGGTGAGAACAAGAGCTTCTTCAGCTGTAAAAGAAACTATGATATTCCTTTGCTTCCCTTATCATACTAACTGCAATTCCAGATAATGACCCATCTCTGGGAATTACAATTTCTTTATACTGTATCTTGCCAGAATTGTTCAGTCGTTAAGTCATGTCCGACTCTTCGTGACCCCATGAACCATATTGCGCCAGGCCAGAATAAACTAGGATAAAACCATGGTTTCAGATCCTGGCTTGTTTCATCCTCACAGAGCCAACAAAATTATTCATTTAAAGGGGTTGTGTAGGTCATTTACTCATTTGCTTGTTTTTATAGCATTTCTAATTCACCCTATTCCCAATGAGTGGTGACAATCATCCAGCCTAAAGGTAGGCAATGGATGCTCCTGCAGACACATGAAGTCCTCAGCCCAATTTCATGCAGCCTAATTCCAAAAACCTTTAAAAGCAAAAGTATCTTTTCTGATGGCCTCCTGTTTGTGAAGAAACTGAGTAATACAAGGGAGGATGGAACGAGGGCTCCACCCATTACTTGCTTCAGACTCCCTCACCACTGGACATGTAACATGGCCCCCAAATAGATCACTCATGCAAGAATGCAGAATTCAATTGAAAAAAGATTGTTTCTCTTGATCTAATTTAACCACTATTTAATGGCATCAAGATAATGCAGTGAATTTTGGAGTTCCTTTTCCTTTTTAGCAAGCCCACAGTATGGAGCTCCTTCACCATTTTGCTGCCCTCTCAGAATAGGTCTCATTTATCTACATTAGCCTCCCCCAATCTAGTGGTTCTCCAGATGTTTTGGAATTCCCAGGGTTTCCAACCATCATTCAGGAAAGGCTATTTAGAATGCTGATCTACACACTTAAGATGTCCAGAACCTCAGCTGGATCCTTAATATTATCTGCAACTTGCAAGCTATGGGTCTAGAATGTTTCTGATTGCTGGATATCGTAGGCAATAGGCATTAGATTAAAGGAGGTGGCATGCACAGATGTAAAATTTGCTCATGCAGACTCATTCCCTGAACAGCAAACCCTGATCTTCCACTTTTTCTGAATATAGCCTTAGTATGGCACGTACCTCATCACAGAGGTGAAGGGCAAATATAATTGACAGGAAACCTGTTGAGGGGTACCTCCCATGACGTTGCAGCCAGTTGTCATAAACATATTTCATAAAAGTGGGATGATAAACCATGATCTGCATGGAATGAAAGAACACATCTTG